GGCAAGTTTTTGCTCTTTGCTACTCTTCGGCAAGTTTCTTAACCTCTCTGGTCCCCCCTTTATCTTTTTCCTCTGCTCCTTCTCAATGTAAGACACCCACCTCAACATTGTACATCTGGAGATGACATGACCTCATTATTATTTTTAAATTTTAATGTGTGGTTATTTATTTGAATTGGTATCACATCCATATGGTTCAAAGTGTAGAAGATACAAAGGGGATTCAGTATCATCTCCCTCCCCCAGGTGTCCCTATCCCAGTTCCCTTTCTTGCTGATTTTATTTTGCAAAACTCAGACACGGATCAGTAGGGGCAAACAGAAAGCAAGATGACTCGAATTAACGTGAATGGAAGGTATTTAATTTATTCTCTAACGTAACATTACTCAATGTGTTATTTGCTTCCTTCCAAATCCTGCTCCTCAGACTTTAAACAACACTAAACTACTAAATAGTCACAGAATCTTTTCAAGAAAATTTGATTCTGAACTTGCTAATGTACAAAGCAGTCACTTCAGCCATTTCACTTGAACTTGGTTAATAAAATCATCTTTTATCCCATTTATCATTTTCTTTAGAAAATTTGCCTTTTAATGCTGTTGAACAGTATAGAAGGGCATAAGGGAACAATTTATTCTGGACTGATTTGAGAGTTTTATATCCCGGGTCAGGACAAAGCACACATAGTTAAAATCTTAAAATGTCCTAAATTTTTCTTTAGTTAATCCTTCTGGGTAAGACTGCTTACTTCTACATTCATTTATAAAGAAAGGGTGTATTGAGCAGTGTAAGGAGGACAGCTCTACAGACAATTAAGATGTGTATCTAGCCCAGTGTCTCGCACACAGTAGGTGTACAATGATGACTAAAACGTCTAATTTATTAAACAAGACTTGAAGGACTTCTTATGCTAACCAAATGTTTTCCTGCAAAGTTTTAGATTTACAATGTAAATTTAAAATATTATAAAAACATGATTTTAAGGACATTAAGGACTTTCCCAGGACAATTTTGTATGAATCTAAAATATGGTAGCTATTTTGCAAGAAATGGGCAACTTCGCTGCCTTCTCCCCATACCTATTGGAAATTTACTGGGCACGAAGTAGGAATCAAAAGCTCAATTCATTTACAAAAGTAACACCAGTACAACGTTTTTCTCCCTCTGCCTCCTAGGAAAGGATTTAGGTTTTAGGGCAATGGTCCGCACAACATGGGTCACGGCAAACAAAGAGGACAAACAAAGAGTCTAGCATTGGAGGCTACTGCGTTTGCTTCTGTATGGATGAGGTCTTAAATCGTTTTTATTCCTCCTGTTAGATTAATAGAGCTAATTAATTTCATTCATTCATTTGCTCAGTCCACAGACATTTGTTCAGAGCCTACCATGGACATAAAGATGAAGATCCAGTGCCTACCCTCATGGAACGTACAATCCAAGTCAAGGAGGCTAACATTTCAATGAGCGTCAGAGTTGCACTTTAATGGCGCTTTACTACTGCTCCCAGGATCAGGTGCCTGGCTACAACTCTAGGCGGCAGTGGGAGCCGGTGTCCGCGGTCCAGCTCTCCCTTGTCTTCAGAGGCGGGGCCGGCCAGTGGAACAGCAGCCGTAGCAGGGACTCGCACGCTCCCTCCCACGAGGCTCCGACCACCGGAAATCAGCAGCAGGCTGAGTGGACCCCGCAGAGCGCATCGAGTGCAGCGCGGGGAGGGTGCGCCGTGGGCCCAGGCGGGCGCCCGCGAGACGCGCCGCCAGCGCCCTTTCTGCAGGGGGCTCGACGCTCGCCCACCTCTTCCAAATTTAACCATTACCTAAATCCGAAGGGAAATGAGCAAACCTCTCGGATTGGGTGTCAAGGTATTTTCAGCTTTGTTGGGCGTATTTATCCCGAAGTGTTTCCACAACAAGCTATTTCGGGGCCCAGGGGCAGGTTTCTCACAGCAGACGCCGTGGCCACTAGTCGGGCTCCAGCCCGGCTGCACCGCGGGGCCGATGATTCACGGCCCGACCCAGGGGCAGATCAGCCCGAACGGGCTTTGGGGTCAGGGGTGTCAGTGACCGAAGGAGCGGAGAAGGTCTCCTCAGAGTGGAACACCTCCACCCCTGGCCGCTCCAGTCAATCTGTGTCCTGAATCTGTGACTTCTCGCTGCGGAAGTGTTTTCCCCCCTCATCCGCACCCCAGCCCCTCCCCCCACAAACCCACTGTCATCAAGTCAATCCCGACACACAGTGACGTTAAGTAGGGTTTCTAAGACTGTAAATCTTTATGGGAGCAGAAAACCTCCTCTTTTTGCCCCCCGCAAAGCAGCTAGTAGATTTGAACTGCCGGCCTTGCGATTAGCTGTCCATTGCTTATCCTACAGTGCCACCAGAACTTCTCGGAAGTCTCCCAACAGCTAAGAATAGTACATTCTCTTTCCAGTCATTTCTAGCGCCTGGGTCCCCCCACCCTCGCCATCCCATAGCTAAAATACTAGGAGGATCGCGAAGGGGCGCGCGGTACGCGGACTGCCCCCTGACCTCACCTCCCAACCCAGCTCTTGCTCAGAGGAGGAGCCCGGCTGGGGGTTGGGGATAAGGTCTGAGAGGGCTGTATGAGAGCTGCTCCTTAACGCTCAGGAAGTGAAGCTTGTGGTTTTTGGGGGCTGAGCTCTAAACGAGGTTTTTTTTTTTTTTTTTTTTTGTAAGTCAGAAACAGCGCGGTCTCTCCCGAAAGCAAGACTCAGTTTGAAAACTCTCGGAGCGCTGTGCCCGCGCCCTGACCCCGCAGGTAGGTCCGCTGCGCCTATTGCGCGCCTCTCGCCATGGCGGGGGCGGCAAAGGCAACCGGCAAGGCACCGGCACTGCGGGGGCGACCAGATGGCGCGCTCTGGACCCCACACCCGTTGCCCGCTGCTGTACAGGAGCCTAGATTACGCCCGACTCTGGGTTCGGGAGGGAGCGACGTCCACGGGGCTAGGGGTCTCGAGCACGGGCGCGTGCCCGGCGGTTTGGTTGTTCCACTGGGAGTGGGATCCGCCCGGGAAGGAAACATCTGGTGTTGGAGGCGGCAGCAGCTGAGCTCTGGAGGCCGCCCCCTCCGCGCCTCCAACTCTCGCCAACCCGGGCACTGACCATGCGGAGAGGCCCCGCGGGCCCGCGCGCGCCGAGGGGGTCGCCCCGCCCCCGGCCGCCAGCTGCTGCGCTAGGTCGCCTTCCCAGGCACTCGGCCGGCGGCCTTGCCCCTCCAGGAACCTCTCCCAGCCAAGCCCCGCACTACCCCCGCGTTGCCAGCGTGACTCCACGCGCAACTGGGCTCTCGCGACCGCGGAACCCCATTTCCCTTTCCTCTGACTTACATGGCTGTTTAATAAGAGTTTTGTTTGTTTGGGGCGCTGTACAGCCTAGGGGGCGGCGCCTGTTAGGACGCTGGGGTAACAGAAGCAACAGAGAGCCACAACTTTGGGCTCTGCATCACCTTCCGAAGCCCCGACCCTGGGGCAATTCCATACGCGAACAGACAGCACCCTCGTTCTTCAGGGCTTTCTGGCGTTTAGGACGCGGTACCAAGTATCTGGTGACTCCGCAACTTGTCCCGACCGTCTCTTCTCCCAATCCTACAGGTTAACCGGGGTGGTCGCCAACCCTGAAACGTAGACTGAGTCTGCATCCTGCCTTGGGAGAAGCGCATCTCTGAATGCGGCAGCTTACGCCGCTGAAAGCCGAGTTCAAGGGGTCCTATTGGACCCTAGATTCCCCTGCCCCTACCACGGAGAGCTGCAATAGTCCACGAGCCTGCAGCTCCCGTGTGAACCCGGCTCCCACAGCCTTGGAGGAAGGCAGATTCGTTTTGCCCAAACCTCCTCAATTTCTAGTTCCACCCCCGGAGCGAGTCCAGAGCTGAGCCGGAGGCGCTTACCCGCCTCCCCACCGGGCTCAGGTTTCGACCCTGGATTAGGTGAACTGATTGGGGGTTAATGAGAGCGGCACTGCGGACATATCCATCCCGGGCTGGCTCTTGGGCCGTTGCTGGCGCACCTATGCGCTCTGGCGTCCTGGCTCGCTAAACTATGCTTAGCTTACTCCCCGACACCGCCCGTGCCCTAGCCACCGCGCGCAGGTACGGCTCAACTTGCCCGGACAAAGTTTTTTGACAGCAGAATGGAAAGTGCTTTTTCCAGGCACCTGGTTTCCGAGGTAGATCTCCACGGTCTGAGATTGTCTCCGCCCGGACCCTGCCCGCGCCCCCTGCGCCCTGGTCTACAGGGACAACATTTTCTCCGCAGGCAGCACGAGTTCGGGACAAGCCGGGAACACCCGGACACGAGTTCTTCCCGGGTCGGGGTTGGTTCTGTGCCACCACCACCCCCTTTCCTGTCCCTCTGACTCCCGCCCCCGTTCTCCGGCCTCTGCTACTGAGCCCCGCCCCACAGTCTTGCCTAGGGCCACCCGCTCGCGCCTCCAGCCGCTAGTGGGATCTTGAAAGTTTTGACTCCTTGCCTTCTCCCTGTCCTCGACCACCGACACATACCTGGGACCCAAACTGATCTGCAGGTCCTGCCCTGCATCCCCAGCCCTAAAACTGAGACAGTTGGGGTAACTTGCCCTTTGGAGACAGTGGCTCTTCACAGGGTTTGATTGACCTAGCTAGCTACTCCAGCAAAGGGGAGGGGCGGGGGAGGGGAGGGGAGGGGCGGGGGGGGGGGCTGGGCGGAAGGTAGGGGCCTGGGCCGTGGGCCCCGGGATGGGTTTTACGGCGGAGCGCTGGCGGTGGCGGCAACAGGCTCATGCCACCTGTCCGAGTGCCACCTGGTGAGCGTGGCGCAGCGGGGCCAAGCCCCTCCTCCCGCAGGTCCTCCTACCCCTCCCAGGCCGGCGCTTTCCCTCCGCGCCGCTGCCCAGTTCCCGGGCCGAGGGTGTTGACCTGCACTCCCACGGGTTCTCCTCCTCTCTCAGGTTTTCGCCGAGCTGGAGCTGAGCTAGCTTTCGGAGTGATTCCAGGCTGATAGCGGCTCCAGGGGCACTCGGAGTGGAGCGGGAGTGCGACAGGCCACCATGCCACGGTCGTTCCTCGTCAAGAGCAAGAAGGCTCATAGCTACCACCAACCGCGTTCCCCCGGACCTGACTATTCTCTCCGTCTGGAGAATGTGCCGGCGCCCGGCCGAGCAGGTGCGTGGACCCAGTGGGGCTTGCTTCCAGGGGTGTCGTCGCTACCTACGCCCGCACCCCACTACTCAAGACCCTACTACTTAAGAAACCACTAGTGCGGCCCCGACGCCCCCTTTGCCTCTTGTTTTTATTTCCTATGGACTGGGTCTCTCCAGGCTTGTCACTTAGGTGCTGCGCGGCCTCTCTGCGCCTGCCCTCGGATCTGGGAGGGCTTCTAGACCGGTCCGGGTGGTAAAGGAAGGACGCGTGGGTGTCACCGTTTAGGGGGCGCCACTTCGGAACCCTCAGGCCAAATTTGAGCCTCTCTCCCGTCTTCTTCCCGCAGACAGTATCTCGAGCGCCGGCGGGGCAGACACGGGGTCCCGGGGCCGTCTGTCCCCTGAGTCTCAGCTGACAGAGGCCCCTGACAGAGCCTCCGCGTCCCCTGGCAGTTGCGAGGGCAGCGTCTGCGATCGGAGCTCGGAGTTTGAGGACTACTGGAGGCCCCCGTCGCCCTCAGTGTCTCCAGGTAGGAACTCTAGGAGCTCCTGCTACGGAGGGCCCAACTGTGCAAGTGAAACGAACGGAAATACAAACTGGACCGCAGAGGGTCTTTCCTGGAGGAGGGGTCTTGTGTGTGGAGAAAGGGGTCCGGATGCGAGAGGCATTCAATTTCTCTTCGACCCGGACAGTTTGCCCACACCAACTGGAGGCAGCAGAACTTGGTTGCTTGTCCCTAACATCTATTTGCGCGGACTTGCAGTAAGGTCGACATTTCGTTTTGTAACAAGTGTGGATTATTTAAAAAGTTAGAGCCACAGAATCTAGACCTCGACCCTCAAACAAACTGAGGCCGGGGCAATATGAGCGAAAGGCGTCGTGGGCTTTACAAATTGCGCTCGCTCGGGCGGCGTTGAGTCTGATGGGAATTGGATGTGGGGCGGAAAGGAGGGGCCCAGGATGGAAATCTCAGCTTGGTCTTCACTGGCACTGATTCGAGGGCCTGTTTCAGCTTTCGTTCTGCCATGTTGGCCCAGGCTTGGGGACCAGCCCCCGTGAGTTTCATTTCCAGTTAGCAGTCAAACTTCGCGCAAACCATTTGGGTGGGGTGGGGAAGGGTCTTGGGTCCAGGCCTGGGTAAGATGGGCTCCGACCAGCGGGATTCTACCCAGGGCTGGCTATCCCCAGGTTGCATTTACTAGTATCGAAGACACGACCACCGAGTGCGTGTTACTGTTGCTGTTGAGAGCCGTCTGAGGAGCGGCTGGTGGATTGGAACCGCCGACCTAGCGGCTGAAACCGACCTTGTGGTCCAGTGCTTATCCTACAGCGCCACAGTCCATGGACTTGGCTAAGGACATGCATAGTTCCAGCTCCTGACGTTCTTACTTGTCTCATACTACACGGGTCTGAGAGGACCGGGACACCACTCAAACAGCCAGCTGAAGTCTGCGCCGAGTGTGAGTGCGCGTGTGCAAGTGTGAACAGATTTGTCAGTGTCTAGTCCTGATGTGGCACTGTAGGATAAGGACTGAATTGCTAACCACAAACCCACCAGACGCACCTCGGAAACCCTGTACAGGGTCGAAAGCTCTTGACAACAAATGCACTCAGAGAACTCATAGGTGAGCTAGCTGGCTTTATTGAAATTCAGGCGGTGGGCTGCGACAGGTCTCGGATTTGGAAAGCTCTGCTTGCAGGTGGTGGCGACGCCTATTAAGTGTAAATTCTTATTCAAAATTCGGGATTTATTTTTCGAAGACCATAAAGAGGCATGGGAATGGGGAGTATTTGACCTGCAGTTCAAATCTAAAGCCCGCTTCCCACTTCCCCTTTGCTGCCAACACTGTCACTTAACTTTGAGGAACTTTTAAACCTTCCCTTTTTTTTTTTTTTAAGCCCAGACAGATGCGTCTCGGGTAAATTGGGGCTGCATTTCATTGGTCCTGTCCTTCTGTTATCATCAGTCCCAGGGACAAATAAAAAGACTGAATGGCAGCGTGTAGGGGCCGGTAGAGTTTAGTCCAGGCACGAACGACTGCTGCCTTCTCCTCCAATCCAATCCAGCCCAGACCGTTTGTTAAGCACAGACGTCGTACATGCCTTTCCCATTAGGACAGCCAGATGCGCGGGTTCCGCCACGAAATAGCCTCTTACTGCAGAGGTTCTTTGCCTCTCATAACCCAATGTCGTCATAGTTATGTTTGTTGCTTTGCCGCCTCCAGTAACCCGCAAGCCCCCACGGTTGGGCTTGCGTTATTTCCTGGAGGTGACCTTGACACCTAGCGAGGCATCTAGTGCACCAAGTGATCTACAACAACTGGGTGACAGTCAGCCAGCAAGCACGCCCGACCCGCGGACGCCGCCGGGCGGCCTCCACCCGCTGTCTTAGGCCTGATCCGACACCCTCTTGTGCCTCCACAGCCTCGGAGAAGTCGGTGTGTCCGTCCCTGGACGAAGCGCAGACCTTCCCTCTGTCCTTCAAGCCGTACTCGTGGAACGGCCTGGCGGGTTCTGACTTGCGACACCTGGTGCAGAGCTACCGGCCGTGCGCCGCCCTGGAGCGTGGCGGGAGCCTCGGCCTCTTCTGCGAGCGCTCCCCGGAGCCGGGCCACCCGGCCGCACTGTACGGCCCGGAGCGGGCTGCAGGAGGTGGAGCGGGGGCGGGGACTCCAGGGGGTGGTAGTGCCGGAGGTGGCGTCGGTGGCGGCCCAGGCCTGGGACTCTACGGCGACTTCGGGCCCGGGGTGACCGGGCTGTATGAGCGGTCAGCGGCAGCGGCCGGCGGGCTGTTCCCGGAGCACAACCACGGACTGCATGCGGACAAGGGCACCGGCGTCAAGGTGGAGTCGGAGCTGCTGTGCACCCGCCTGCTGCTGGGCGGTGGCTCCTATAAGTGCATCAAGTGCAGCAAGGTGAGGCTCCCACGCGCCTGGCCATCAGACCCCGCGCCCCCACCCCCGGTCCGCGCCCCAGCTCAGCGGCCTTCTCCCCGGCCCCATCCGCCTCAGGTGTTCTCCACGCCTCATGGGCTCGAGGTGCACGTGCGCAGGTCCCACAGCGGCACGAGACCATTTGCCTGCGAGATGTGCGGCAAGACCTTTGGGCACGCGGTGAGCCTGGAGCAACACAAAGCGGTGCACTCGCAGGTAAGCGCGGCCGCTCAGGTTTTCGCCATCTGGCAACGTTCTCCTCCGATCACACTCAGCCCCCGCCTCCCGTTCCGGTGTAGATGTGGTGTAGATGTTTAGAGAAGGGTGGGCTCAGGCCTTGAGGCAGCCCCGAGTTTGGCGTCATAGGTGAAACCCCTTGTGTGATCCCAAGCACTGACTCTTGCTGCTGGTATTTCAGACGTATTCATTCTACCAGATGGCTGTCACTTAATCAGCATTGACTCCTCTGGACTGAAAAAGAGGAATCTCGGTTCATTTGGAGCCTCCCGTAGCATATTTACTCAGCTTTCATTCATTCACTTAGAAAGATTTGTTGCCCAACTTCTAAGTTCCAGGCATTTGAGAATTCTGTAATGTACTAGGTCCTTGACTGGATTCCTCTCATAGAGAAATTAGTTTGGCTGAGAGACAGGATAGATGAGCACATTAAGTACTCAAGTAACTCTGAGAGGAGAATGCTTACTTGCAAAAACTTATTTACTGTCTCTCCCAGCACTATCATGAGGGTGGAGAAGTGTGTCTAAAAGGGTGTCAAAAAGCAGAATGGGGATAGTTTTTGCCATAGGGTGTGGAGAGTCGTGGGTGAAAAGTGTTTGGGTAGAAAGGTGTTAAAGGGCAAGAGGATAAGGTGGCTAGGCTGGATGTGGAAGGGAGCCTGAAAGGAGAGCCAGCCCTGACTTTTGGGATTTCAGGGTCAGGGTAGCAGTGAGGAGAGTGGCAGCCTGGGTGGGTGCTGAGGAGTGATGTGTCCTATTCTCTGCAGGAACGGAGCTTCGACTGTAAAATCTGTGGCAAGAGCTTCAAGAGGTCGTCCACCCTGTCCACACACCTGCTCATCCACTCAGACACCAGGCCCTACCCCTGTCAGTACTGTGGCAAGAGATTCCACCAGAAGTCAGACATGAAGAAACACACCTTCATCCACACTGGTGAGCTTTTATGGAACACCCTGGAAGGGAAGGAAGATAGGTGGGGGTAGGTGTGTGTGTGTGGCATTATTCTTTGGTCTGAGGCCAACATACCCCACCATCTCTGTGATATGGGTCCCAGTAAGTAGTGAATGAAGCTAAAATTAATCAACTGCTGTGTGTTAAAGAAAAAAAACAAATACAAGACAAAAAAACAAAGGCAGATTCTCTCACAGATTCATTTACAGACCTGTAAATGTGGGTCCTTGATTGGGCCTTTGTCTGAAGAGCCATTCAGCAGGCCTGCTTGCAGATTTTCTATCCTTAGAAAGAATCTATTCTCTAGTTTAGCAGCTGCTTCAGTTGCTGCCTGCTCAGGTGAAATCTGAAGCCCCAGGGTCCTCTCAGAGTTTACCTAGAGATTGATGGCTTTCTCTAGGGCTTCCACTTAGCCTTGGGGGATGGGCTCATGTATACCCTCCCAGGCTGTATTTTTAGGGTCTGAAAGCTTATTTTGATTTGTTGTTGCTGTTGTTAAGTGCTGTCGAGTTAGTTCCGACTCCTAGTGACCCTGTTTAGGTTTTCCAAGGAGTGGCTGGTGAATTTGAACTGCCTGCTTTGCAGTTCAAACTGACCTTGCGCTCCATGCATCATCCCACAGTGTTAGGAGGGGAGAAATGGCAAATATTTATTGCTAAGCTGTCAGTTAAGCACTTTTAAAATGTATTATTGCTCATTTTATGTTCACAACAATTCTGTGAGGAAGAGAGTATTCCTGATCTCCATTTTAAAACAGGCAAATATGAAACAGAGGGTTTAAGTAACCTGGCCAGGGTCACACAAGTTAGCAAGTGACAGCCAGGACTCAAATTCATATCTGTCTGACCTCATATGTCTATACTCCTAATCACTGATTAGTATAGATACTCTTCTGTGTCAGCTCCAATGCACAGCAACCCTGTATAGAGTTTCCAAGGAGTGGTTGGTGGATTTGGACCGCTTATCCTATAGCACCACACCAGGACTAAATTACTTATCTATTTTAATGCTTTATAGTTTACAAATTCATATCTTATTTAACCCTTGTTGTTAAGTGCCTTCAAGTCAATTTCAAAGCGACCCTGTAGAGAATTTCTGAGGAGCAGCTGGTGAGTTTGAACCGTCAACCTTGCGGAGTGCACCCTAAAGTGGAAGAAGTGAGGCAGTGGTAGAATTCTTGCTTCCATATGGAAGACCCTGGTTTGATTTCCCACCAGTATACCTCTTGCACAACCCCTATTCGTCATTGGAGACTACCACGTTGCTATGAGACTGATTAGGTTTCAGAGAACTTCCAGAATAAGACAAAGAGGAAAAACCTGGTGATCTACTTCAGAAAATCAGCCTCTGAAAACCCAGCCCGAACCCTTGGGCATGGGGTTGCCATGAGTTGGGGCAACTAAGAACAATAGAGTAGAAGTAGCTGCTCTTACCACCCAGACCCTCAGACAGAAGGAGTGATTGACTAAAGATTGGACTGAGTTTAAATTAGGGAGTCAAGGCTGGAATGTTTCAGCAAACTTTTTCTCTAAAACTTTGATTGTGTGCATAGCACAGTATTAATAGCAGGAGCACTCTCTTTAATAGTTCAGACAATTAAATGAGACCCAGAATTTCTGAGTATTTTATTGCTGGATATGAATACTGATGGAAAACAAATCCAAGTGTGTTCCAAACACCCACCACTGATATTTGTAAATATGCTTGGGCTGTGTAAATGATGCCCCATCAGAAAACCCAGAAAAATATCCTACTCTAAACATGTCCTTTACCTGAAATTTCTATGTAATTCACTCCTTTTGAGTAAAGGTATTCAATCCACTCATTGAAATACAACTAGGACCTTACCTGCATGAACCATTAAGCCCTTATTAAACATTTACATTATAGCTAGAATTCCTTTCTCAGATTTGTTCCACCCTTAGAGGATAGGATAAGTTTTGATGGGTGATGCATTGTCAAGGAAATCTGAAGCCTGAAGACAGAAAGAGGTGCAGTAAAAAGGACATTATTGTTGTTGTTAAGTGCTGTTGAGTCTTGTTAGGAAATGTGGTGGTGGTGGTGGTGGTTATGTGCCATGGAGTCGGTTCCTACTCATAGCGGCCCTGTACGGAGTTTCCGAGGCTGTAGGAAATAGGGTTCTCCAAAACTTAATTTATTTTGTATTTTTTTCCAAGGCTGAACCCTAGCTGCCAGACATGCTGAGGCTATATGGAAAATCACATTTTTTTTTTTTTTTTTTTTACCAAATGTTGACTAGCACAAACAGGAGTTGGGGAAAAAGATGAAAACTTTGCATGTCTTGTCTGTTATTTACTAATCGGTTGCTGGTATATAAAGAATCTTGTGAGCATCTTAAGAAAATAAAATCAAGACAGAAAAGAATCAACAACCTTAAGACATAGTTATGGCTCACATGTAGATTTAAAAAATGAGACTGGAAATGCCCATGCTTCAAGTTGGCTTTCAAGAGCAAGATAGAAGACAGACTCATTGGTCCATATAAACTAGTACCGTACCCACTTGGAAACTCAGATTTGAAAACTTCCTCTGAATTATACAAAACAGGGTCACGCGGTTTATAGGACAAGTGTCCCCGCCCCCTTCATGTTGAACATCTGCTCTGGTAAAGCTCAACTTTTAAAGTTTGACGAGCTCTCTCAGAGTGGATTCAGCTGTGATTCTGGGGAGGGCTCGTGGCATTTGCCCTGTTTCTGTTTAGCAGGAAACAGTTTGAGGCCTTTGGTTAGGAACCCCCGACTCAGAGTCTCCTTTTCGCCTGCTGCACCCATACCTTCCTGGGGCTCGAGGCTGGGAGTTGGGTTCCTGCTGCAACATGACATCCTCCGAGTCACGTGAAAGCCTCAGGCTGTGGTGCAGCCAGCTGCTGCCAAGAGCATGTGGGTCACCATGGGTCTCCTTTAGCTTTAACATAGACTCATACTTCCTCACCTCCCCCTCCCCTCCCTGCAGGTGAGAAACCCCACAAGTGCCAGGTGTGCGGCAAGGCTTTCAGCCAGAGCTCCAACCTCATCACCCACAGCCGCAAGCACACGGGCTTCAAGCCCTTCGGCTGCGACCTGTGTGGGAAGGGCTTCCAAAGGAAGGTGGACCTCCGACGGCATCGGGAGACACAGCATGGGCTCAAATGAGCACCTTAGTTGGCCAGAAGCAGCAAGCAGCTTCACAACACTACAGAGAGCAGCCTCCCCCTTGCCATCATCCCTTCTGACTTCTCAGGCCCCCCCAGTCCAGTCTGCAGATGCCACCAGGGTGCTCGCCCTTCGCCTTATTCCTGGAGCTGCCAGAGAGGATGAGGAACTTGTTTTAAAGTTCAACCTGAATCAGGAACCAAACGATTCACTGAACTTTCTCCACACTGAGTAGGCCTCTCTACACCTGCAGACTCAAAGTCAATTGGGATCAGATAAAATCTTGAGCCCCACAGTCCTCTGCATTCCCAACCCTGCTCCACAGACAGGAAAGTTCTTCAGGTTTGCTTCCTCCTCCTCCTGAACTTCCCGAGTTCTTGTGTGGAAGAGGAGGATCATCAGTTCTAAGGTGAACACATGCTAATGTGATGGGTTTTGTTTTGTTGTTGGTTTTTTTTTTTCTCTTTAATCTAGAAAGAAGAATGGGTGGTTTTATTTTTATTTCTTTTTCCTTCTGGGAAGTCTGTTGATCTCTGTTAGGTGCCGCCTGTATGTCTAGAAGGAATCGTTTCTCTCACTTGAAAATTGGTTCAGAAACTGATTTGGGCAATGAGTTTGATGCTTCTGAAATGATAAGATGCACCTTCGGGCCTGACCCAGGATGGAGCAGAAGTGGTCTTGATGAGAGAGAATTAGAGGTCTAGCCTGCAGGTGACCGGTGAAGGCTTTATCAGAGGCAGTAAAAGCACAGAGCAATGTCTTTGACAGCTCATTCGTTTACTCACTCAGCTATCATTTGTTGACCACTGGTTACCATGGCACTAGGCCTTATGCTGGGGACTGGGAGCCAGAAATTAAAGTCATGATTCTGCTGGAGCTAACTGTCATACCTCCACATGCGTATGTTCTCTTCTTTGAGGGAATACTGAGAAGACAGCAAAGACCTCTGGATTTTACCAAGCAAAAATGACAAATAGCTGAGCGCTTACTTCAAAGATGTGTATAGACTCAGTTTTTTAAATGTTATTTTAAGATGTCTGAGTTGGCAGAGAATGAAGGTTCTTTGACTTTCCATGTGTACCACAAAGAAAAATGTTTTTACTTTGAGAATGTTTGTAAATGTTTTTAGTTATTCTGGAGTGCATTATGTTTGTTAATACATATTTATTAGAGTGATGTTTTAAGTTAATAAAGTATTATGACTCTTATAGATTACCTTTCATTTAGTCAGGAAATTTGGGAAAGATCTTTGCTTTAGTCTGTGAGCAAGTTGGCACTAAAGAAACTATATTCCATCTCCTAGTGGCCCTCATAAGACAGAGGAAAACTGCTCAAAAGGGTTTCCAGTGTTGTAAATCTTTATGGAATAAAGATAACTTTCTTCTGCTTAGCAGCTGGTGGGTTTGAACTACCAACCTTTTGGTTATCAACTGAGCTCTTAACCACTGCTCCACTAGGGCTCCTTGAAGGACACTACATAGAGTGGAGCATGAAAGTGAAGCAGCAAGCTAGAATCTACAAAAGAGCAAAATCCAATGGCTTAGGTCTCCATCTACCTTTTTCTTCATGCCTCAGAGGTACTTCTTTCTTAACAGAAAAACTAAGAGGTACACAAGGTTAAGTTTCTACCTTGTAGAATTACTAATAGTCCCACATGTATACAGGGCTTTTCCTCTGAGAATTGAAAAGGTTTTCACAGGCCAGAAGAAGGTTTCCTGAACCTCAGGTCTTAGGCCTAGAGATAGGAGTTTGAGTCGTGGCTTTGTCATCAACACACTGTGTAGCATGGACAAATCCTTTGATTTCCCTTATACTGGTTTCTTTGCCCATAAAATACGGATTTGGTTCTAACATCCCATCCAACTTTGACTGCTTAGATTTAGTGCAGATTATAGGAGAGAGAAAGTATGACATTGGGGTCTAGGTTATTTCTGGTTCAACCCCACCCGTGGAGTCTTGGTGTGGTGCTGTGGGTTAATCAGCTTGACTGCAAAGCTGGTTTGAGCTGCAAGATCAGTGGTTCAAACTTACCAGCTGTTCCTCAGAAACCCTATGCAGGATCACTATGGGTTGGAACCAACTCAATGGCACTTAGCAACAACAACTCCACCTGTGGGAATTTCCTGCTTTATCAACCTTTTAGGAAAAAGAAACCAGAGTAAGGTGGTTTCTACCTAACATTTCACAGACAAACATTCTAGGTATATGTGACCCATTGTGAAGACCAGCATAGTACTCATTTCCCTTTAAACCAATTTCACACGTCATGACTGAGCATCTAGTTTGTGCCTGGCATTCTTCTAGGGGCTGAAGATACAACACTTAGCACAGTGCCCATGTGAAACTTGATTTGGTCACTGCTACATCCTCAGTTGCCAGAGTGCCTTGCACATAGTAGATCGATTAATATTTGCTGAGATGGTAAGTGAATTGTTGTTAAGTGCCGTCAGGTCAATTCCTACTCACAGCGACCCTGTATAGGGTTTGTGAGGCTTTAAGTTTTTACTGGAGCAGAAAGCCTCTTTCTCCCTTAGAGCTGCTGGTGGGCATTAACTGTGGACCTTGTGGTTAGTAGTCCAGTGCTTATCCTCCAAAGTGCTTCCCTGTAAGTAAATAGGCAAAAAATATATATATTTCTGTTCATCCTGTGGACTGGCTCTGCTGTCTATGGTAACAATGGGAAGAGAGATTGTTGGAGCGCCTAGAAAATTAATAGAACACATAGGACTCTCTTTGAGTTGTTGAGTAAAGGGGGGCTTAGAGGATGCTTTTTTCAGTTCCTGCAAATCTCAGTCCTTAGCTCTCTTCACTTTGTTTTCAGCACCCTGTTGTTCCATGTCATTTTCCTCATATCCAAATTTTAAATATTTACTCCCTAAAGCAGTTTGAGGCAGTTTTCCAGAACTGATGGGATGCTGAACAATTGTAACATCCAGGAACTACTTTCTACTGTCCTGGGAGACTCTTTGAGTAAATAAAGATGAAAAAAGCATCCTTACCACAGAAGCACAATGCATGCTGGTTGATTATTTCCAACCTAGTGTGAAAAAAAGTTGTGCTGAAGGGTAAGATGAACTGATTGAAATCTAGGTATCTGCCCTTTCCTGCTCTTATCAAATTTAGAACTTTTGGTCAGTTTCATAATCCTTGTTTATGCTCTCAAGGATGAGCTGTAATTTTAATGTTAACAGGATGGCTTTTTTGGGGGGAAAAAAACCATATCTAGATATCCCCAGTTCAGAATCAAAACAAATTACTGCGTCTGTTACCGGGTGAAATTTGAAGATTGCAAACATCTCTCTTAATGTTATTACTTGACTCCATTAAAAATAGATTGTGAATATTCCATGTCACATTATTCATGAAGCAGTCTCTATGCCTTTTGTCTGCTGGAGTAACAGTAGAAAGGGTAACAAGAGACACCAGAGCACACCTTTGTTCCTTTCACTAAATTTTTAATAACACCTCCAGCTAGCCAGTTGGTGAAGCTCAGCTCAGCATAAAAGTGGAAAAGCACAGCTATCTCAAAGACCAGCTCTTTCAGTAGCTAATTTGAGTTTGTGTTCATCTCCACCCAAGCTGATTAAATTACCTATCAAGTGTGCTGAGCTATCAGGATTCAGGCCACGTAAAAGGTGAATTTCATCTGATTGATTTGAGACAGGAATGGAACAATTGAGTTGAAAAGCCCCACCTTAATTAAAGGGATAGCAAAGGATCACTACTGGCAGACTTCTTGACTGTAGTTTGCCTTTGAAAACTGGGTGGCAATAGTGATTTCTGACCCAAATCATGTTGCTGTGTGCTTTTTTGCTTAACTTGATCATTTAACAGAAATGAATTAACTCAGAGGAAGACCTAAAAAGGATTCACTACTTTCTTCCCTGGCATTGCTAGAGTGCTATTTGTTTAAATCTGTGCTGCTATATTATTTCTACCCCCAAAACTTAAGAAAGTACATAATAAATTTATTTTTATAACTCCATTTTCAATTCATTAAGTTAAATTTAAAATTAAAAATTTAAAGAAATCTCATCCCAAGCCTTCTAGCTTAAAAGTCTATGTTCATTTTTGTTTCTTTCTTTCTTTCCAATCTTTATCCACGTGTATAATATATAAATATATTTTAAATGAGTATTTTATACTGTGGTCAGAGTGTTTACAATTTATGTGTAGATGTTTCTTTTCTTATTTACAATATGGACACATTTTAAAATTATGAAATATAAAAATGAGAATTTGAATAATTCTTTTTGTTTAATCTTACTGATGTCTTTTCTGAAGTTTTGCTCTAATGCTATTCACATTTTAAATAAAATATTTTGAGCATACTGGAAATTATAGAATTCTGTAATTCTGTCATATTTGCTTCATATTTTATTTTATAAAGAAATATATTCAACCATATCTGCAATATTTTATTTTTAAAATAAAATATTGCAGATATGGTTGAATATATTTCAGAGTATGTTTTCCCTTTCTTCTCTCCTCAGAGGCATCTTTTATGTGAAAATTGGTATAGAACAGCACCATAAAGAGCTTCAGACCTTTATTATATGCATGCATCAATAAATTATATATATTTTAACTATATATAAATGACATCCTAGTGTATATATGGAGTCCTGGTATGATGCTGTGGGTTAATGTGCTTGACTGCAAGGTTGATTTGAACCTCAAGGTTGGCGGTTCAAGCTCACTCACCAGCTGCTCCTCAGAAACCCTATACAGCATCGCTGAGTCAGAACCTTGACTTGACAACACTTAACAACAACAGTGTATTTTTCCTTCAGATGTTTGCTTTTGTTTTGCTCCACATTTTGTTTTTGAAAGTTATCCATGTTGATGAATGTGGTTTTGTTCATTTATTTTAATTGCTGAACATAGAATTTCATTATATGCATACTTGGTGATTTATTTATTCGTTTTTAAAAGCATTCTATTGTTTTCCAATTTTGCTTATTACAAACAAACTCCTTGTGAAAGAGGCTCCCTAGGGAATGGGAATGGAAACATTGGATGTTACCAAATTGCTCTTC